TCACCTTAGAGCTAGCAATATTACATTAATTTCCAATCAACTGGACCAAATTGGGGATTTTAATCTATCACCCTAAAATCTCTAATTTTGCATCTAACAAAGTATATTTCCATATTTATTTTTACTCAATCCCATAGATGACATCTTCTCTCATGGAATTGAATGTGACTGTCACCATGTTGTAGAAATCATAGCCCTTTTAGATCATTTGTTTCTCAACATATTTTAACATTTCAATTAGCTAAATAAAAAATTAAATGAAGATAAAAGTTTAAATCATCACAAATTACTAACATTTAAAACCGTATAGAACAAAATCAATTCCTCAGAAAACCAAATCTCGTTGTAGGGAGAAGGATAAAGAAGACTACTCAGTATTCATAAGAAGGATACGACAAAACACAAATTACATATATAAAAATAACTTTACAAAATAAAGAAAGAGAAGAACACGACTTATCTCACACTCCTTCCCAAGCAAATCCCTAAAAGTTCCCTTCAAGTAGTTTCTCTATTTACAATCACACCCAATTCTCTCATAGAAATGTAATGAAGAAGAAATCTCTCACCTACCTTCTCCTCTTGCAACCCTAGAAAAAAATCTTCTCTTCTTCAAAGTCTTCCTCTCACTCTCACGCCACACACAAAACACACACACTTTTTTTTCCCTAGACTTCCCTCTCTTTTATTAGAGGCTGTCTCACTCCAAAAAGAATTTAAAATTATCTCTAAAATTCTATTCAAAAGTCAACTTTTTTGAATTTAAAAGACATGTCTATTGATCCAAGAGACATATCACTTCATAAAAGAACTTTTCAATATATCTAGATGCATTAAATTTAGATGCATTGAATCACTCCATGAGGTGTTTGGAACAAGTGCCCCCTTCAAAATTTGCGCAAAATTTATCCTGAATCACCTTAATCTGTTAAAAGTTGACTCAGGCGCTTTAGGTGCCAGTTCTCTGGATTTTGGCGCATCAGGCGCCAGTTTGGTGCATCAGACGCCACTCTGCAGCAACTCCACCATTTTGTTTCGTTTCAGCTCTGTTTCACACTGTTTCAGCTGTGTTTCGCTCCTAACAGATATACCTACAAAATAAGAATGAAAACAACCTTTTCTAAAAGTGTAATTTCATTCAAATTTATTTGAGAAATGTAAAATAGATTAAGCATAGAAAGACATATCGAAATGTGTCAAATCAGAATTTTCTTTCTTGCTCATTTTTACTCCAAATTACACACTTTTTGCTTCATTTTCTCAAAAAGTCCATTTCTTGTGCTTGAAACCAAAAAATATGCAAAATACCTTCCTTTAAAGTGTAATATCATTAAGAATTATTAAAATTGAGCATAAAATATATATGAAAATATAGGTAATTTTTAGGGGTGTTAGATATCCATTCGACCTACCAACAAATTTCTAACTTTTAATGGCCGACATGGCACCTAGGTGCCACCCTGCTGAAAGTACCCTCATTTCGCCCCGTTTTAGCTCCAATCCGCTCCAAGTGGTATACCTACAAAATAAACATAAAAATAACATTTTTAAAAGTAAAATTTCATTCAAAAATATATGATAAATGAAAAGGAGATTAAGCGAAGAAAAACATATCAAAATGCACTAGATAAAAAATTTCTTCCTTGCTTGATTTGACTCAAAATTTTATCATTTTTGCTCCATTTTCTCCAAAACTCTATTTTCTTGTACCTGAAACCAACATGCAAAACATCATCCATTAAGGTCAAAAATCATTAAAAATGAGCAAAAAATGTATATGAAAAAGTATGATATTTTTAGGTGTATTAATAACCACACCCAAAAGTCTCTTGGATTAGTTATGTCAGCCCTGAGCATGACTACAGGCTAGTTTATTTAGAGTGGCCACTCAGTGTGATCTCTCCCAATGACACACCATCAATCCATGGCCATCGTCCAGAGTTTAGAGCACAAATTATTCCATTATTTTTCCAGCAACAAACTGAGGCTCTTCCAACCATCTCATTCATCACAGTCATTAACCCACCAATTAATCAGACAATCATGGAGGACTCTACTATCTATTACCCAATTCACAAATATGTGGTCTTTCTCACTTTCCAACACAACTTTATTCCCTAACACATTCTTTCAAGTTTGAGGATAGGAAGCATAGAGGAATATAGAACTCTAGTAAGTCTCATCCCCTCTGATCAACCTCCTCCGGTATGCTTCTCTACTTCTCCCTTTTAAATAAAGCATTTTCTTTATGTTTTTATGTTAGGTTAAGTTATTCAAATCAGTAGCCTTGGATTAGCTTGGGTTTGGGTTAGACTCTGGTTGACCCGAACCCATCCTAATCCTAACACAAACTATAGTCTAACCCAAACCCTAAACCCACTTAAATTTAGTTTCAAGCCAGAATTAACCAAACCTAAGTCTAAAGCAAACCCTAACCTAACTCAAACCCAAACACAACTCTAAACTAACCTAAACCCTAAACCTAACCTAGGTGTAACCCAACTTAGACCTAACCTAACCCTCTAACTTAACCTAAACCATAAACCTAACCCAGGTTTGTCCCAACCAAGGCCTGACCCAATTTAGACTTGACCCAAGCCCAACATAGAGCTTTCCCAAACCCTAAACCTAACTGAGCTTTGACCTAACCCAGACTTGTTCAAACTTAGAACCTACCCAAACCTGGTCGAACCTAAACCAAACCCTAAACCTAACTCAGATAAACTCAAATCAAACTCAGCTCAACCCGCTTAGCCTAACTTAATTTGAGTCAACCCAAATCAACCCAAACTTTACTCAAGTCAATGTTATTTAATCCAAGCTAGCCCAAGCGCAATCCAAACCTAAACCAATTAACTCGTATCATACCTTAGCTCAATCATAAGCTAACATAAGGTGGAAATTCAGCTTACCTTAGCTTAAATCAAGTCCAAGTTTAATCCAAAGCAAAGTATATGTATTACTTTGTGTGTGTTATTTCATTTCATATGTTAATCCTTATTCAATAATTAAACAAAAATAACAAAAAAATAGGTGAAAAAATAAGGATGAAAACTTTATTGGGTTTCTCCACAAACATAAAAAAAATCAAACTTCAAATAAAAAGAGTTCAAAACTTAGAAAAATATTAAAGAACAAGAATAGAACCTAGGTAGATATGACATGAAAGTTGGTTTAGCTAACTTAGACACTATAATGATGACCACACACACACTTTAGGTTATTTAGAGTATAAAAGTTTTTGTTAGTCAAATAGATACCCGAATTAGTGCTAAAAACTAGAGCATACAAAACAACAAACCTACTCCCTGATACTAAAGGGAATACCTTAGAATGAATTAACCAATTGGTACTATCAAAATTATTTCGGACCAATTAGAAGCTACAAATCTCCACGGTACATCACTTAAGGGGAATTCCTAGTTTGAGGTTGGTCAAAGTTAAAGGATACCGTTGTTCTCGAGACCACGAAAATCCATGGGCATCTTGATTGACGACGTTATTTCCAAAGTCTAGGTTAGTTTGTCCTTAGAATTCGTTATAGAGTCTATGGTTTCATTTCTCATCTAGAAATCCTTCTCTACCTAACTCTATGCTTAGCTTAGTGTTTCCAACTATTTTAGTCATTCAAATCTAGTATCGTTAATTTATCTTTTGACTCCACTTGATCAAGTCATACTCATCATTAGTCTCTATCAAAACACTTGATTGTCACTCTCCAAACTTCATCCTATGTCCTATTTGAACTTTTCAGATGACGAAATTGTCATCGAATTGTAATTCTTATTCCCTTAAACATAATTATTCCAATTTGGACCCTCTAATTTCTTTCAATCACTCTAATTATGAAAGTCCGATTTCTGACATTTTGGCTCATTATATTAGTCAAAAGTTTTCTTTAGGACTCACGGATAACAATGATGGCTTGCTCTTGTAGGGAACGAAACCACAAAATTAAAATAACATTATCATACATTTTTAAGATAACGGGAAAACACTAGTTTCGTAGACTAACGAAGGATCTCATCCTCCAGATGATTAGGCTTATTTTCTTAAGGTATTATTTTCTTCCTTTGGAAAGATATATTGTTCTTCAAAATGTCGTGCCCGATCATCTTGATAGAAAGTCAGTCAAAAATTTTATCGTGTGTGGAGACGTCCAAAAAAATCTCCCATAAATCCTCACTCCTATAGCGCATTAAACACAACTACTTCTACTACATAGGATGAAGAGGTTCGTACGTAGATTGCCTCATTCACTCCAAATATTAAGACTCGAGTTGTTGCCTAGTTCACTTAGATGAGGTCTGAATTAGAGCAAAAAATGAAAGTTGAATTACATGTGTTGTTTCATCTTGGCAAACTTCTAAGGAAGCAACAGGCAAAGGAGGATATTGAAGAGGAGGATAAGGAGGGCAAGTAGGATTATTAGGAAAAGTTTTATTTCTTTTTGGTTTGTGTACAAATAGTTTAATTCTTTGTTTCAATGCATTACACTTACTTCTGTGTTTAGTTTGTGTGTTCGCTCATTAGATTTTAGTTTAATAACTAAAATGATTGGTAAACTAGTGTGCAATATATAGTTCGATTTATATTTGTTCTGATAGGACCTCTAATTCTCTTTCCATTTATGTTTTCTCAAGTAAACAAAGGGCGCTTTTTAGTTATCTAGCTTTACTTGACTTCATGCGAGTAACAATTTGAAGCAATTGCAATAAAAAAACACTTGATATTTATTTCATTAGATTTCTCTTGTTTCTCTAAACGTAGACAAATTTTTGTATGTATTAATTACAGAAAGAATGAACAAACTGCCAAGAATTTTACTTTTCCTTTTCTATTTCCAAATGATAGTATTTTTAGCATATAAAATTTAAATAAATGTTACAAGTACAGGATAAACTTTATGTTAACAAAGCAAAAAAACAAAATACAAACACTTGCACATATTGTTGAAAGAATGCAAACAATTTCCAACAAAACAACCAACAATGCACCTTATTACCTAAAAAAATCATAACCCAGACATATTATTAGTTTACCACATAGTAATATCGTCCCAAGAAAGAACGAGACAAACAAAGAAAAGGAAAAAGAAAAAACTTCACAAGTAAATCAGTTAGCAAACGCCACGCATGGAGAGGTTTCATCGCCACCTTCATTGTTAGAACACCAAGCGTCTTCAGTGATGAACTGCATCCATGCATCATCCTTGTCATCCTCTTCAATACAAGATGAAGATCCTAGCATGGGAACATCTGGTGAGGTAATTTCGTGCTCTTTAATTGCTTGAGGGCTTTCTGTCAATGGTAGACTGCATTGTCCTTGTTCTTCGACATCAGTGCATATCACATTTTTCTTAAAAACCCGGCAGAGCGCATAGGAATCCTGAGAAATTTATATCATTAATTATTTCATTAAAATCTCATTTTCAATATATAATTATTTATATGCATTATGTTTAGAAATTACTTTTCTTAATTAGGACTACTACGACGATTTTTTGACTCCAAGCTTAAAGATCAGCCATAATTCCATCGTGGATCATCTTAATGAGTTGCACTATATCGAGTTAATGGTAGATTGATTTGAATTTGATTAGCATATGCTGACATGTTTGCATTGAGCCCAAATCAGAACTAACAATTTAAAAAATTACTAGTTAGGGATGCAGAGGCAGAACTATATATGCTGTCCAACCGAAAACGGCTCATGCGTGAGGAAAAAAAATTAGTTATTCACATCATAAAATTTTTGCTCAAACATCAGATGCAACTTTGGTTCCACAATTCGCATATAATAATTGCTTCTATTATTGAAATTTGATCCAATCAGCTAGCTAATCTTTGTTAAGATCGCCATAGATTAAATAACAGTTTTGAGCTAATTTTAACCGCGGTCAAAACTCCTGTAATCAGATTATTTGTTTTCTATGCCATTAAGAGAATTTGATAGAAATTTTTTGAAAATACGAGTTAGTATATCGATCCTTGGTGTCATGACCAGGCGAAGCCTCCCGATTAGTGGCGGAACCTGGTGGTGGCCGGGAGGAAGTTCCACCTTTTTATTTTTACTAAAAAATTTAGTATTATATAAGAAAGATTTCTCCCCTAAAATTAAATTCCTAATAATAATTTAATATTAATTATAATTTTAATTTTTTTAATACAGTTATAATAATTTTAAGATTTTTAAAAGATTAAAATTATAAAGTTAAATATTTGATCGTTACCTCTTACTATTTAATTTCACCGTTCTTTCATATAACTTTTTTGCTACGTTACTGAACCACACCTCTATCCTCAATCATACCATTTATTGCTAATCAATATATTTTTAAAACACATGCGAAGGTAATATTAATCTTAATATTTTCTTGGTTTATAGTATAATAGCTTATACTATTTGGCTAAATGAGGGTGACATGAGAATAATGAACAGGAGAAATTTGTTTTGGAATAAAGTATAAAGCCACCGACATCCTTGAGGAGTTCACGAGTGATAATTTTGCTTTTTCATAAAATGTTATGTTAGAATCAGGTATTAATCTAATAAATATATTTATATATGTAGATTGTAGAGGTAAGAACTGAGTATAGATTTGTCTGACTTGACGTGGAGACAAATTTAGTGAAAGCGGCAACACTGATTCTTTGGGGAGGATCCACATGGTCTAGAAGAAAAGAATGTTTGTTGCATATATTGCCCTTACATGCTGTGGATAAGAAAGCAGCGTGTGGCCGGAGAAAGCTAGTTCGAGCCTTTCAAGCACATCATGCATAACCTACATAGATTTTCTTTACATTTCTTAATAACCTCTCTCTCTCTCTTTCTCTCTCTCTCACTCACTCACCCAATAATCGCAATTTTTAAGAAATTTCGATTTATTTGTCGAATTTAGAAAACCTTATTTCTTATCACGGGGATAAATTTTGATCGGACTTGTCAACAGATAGGTTGAGAAGAAATGCTGAAGTAGGTTCATGATTTAATCCTGCTTGCTTTAACTTTCTTGATTACTAGCTTTCATAATTAATTGCTAGCTTTCCCGAGGTGCAATGCTGATTTAATTGCCCAAAGCTAATAGAAATTACTTATGATATGAGTTTAAGTATATAGTTGAATTTGATTGTGAGTTGATATAGTATCATCACCTGAATTCCCATTGCATCTTCACATTCTTTGTCTTCTAGGCGGTACTCGTGCATGACCCAATCAGTCCTAATACCGTGTGGAGCTCGACCCTTATAGTAGACCAATGTTTTCTTCATTCCGATGGCTCGATTTTGTGAAGAGACACGTCTGTCTTTACCTGTTGATTTCCAATATCCAGCTCTTGTAGCACGGTTGGTTCGAAATCCATTAGGGTATTTTCTATCTCTCGGTCCAAAAAAGTACCATTCAGGGTCTCTACTAGGGAGGAAGGACTTATCTAGTAAAATTTATGCACAATGTAATTAGTTAAAAATATAATGCACATTAACAATGTAATTAATTATAATTTTCTAAAAGATATTTTTCTTTACATTTATAGGTTAAGAGATGGAAGAGTTCCGAAAAAAAGTTGTATATTACACATACATCTTCTAGGCAACTTAAAAGAAAAAAAAAAGCTTGTACAGAAATAATTACATTAAAATTAGATGGCCCAAAATTGGTAGAATTACAACCTATGTGGTAATCTCATCGAAAGCATGATATCAGTAAATAAATAATAATCTAAGTTTGAAGATAAATATCCATCAACTCATAAGAATATGTTCCTCTATTGAGTCATAAAAGTTTTTGACAAAAACATGTTGAAATTAGCGACACAAGGGAACGAGGAGGTATAATTTAATTAAACAACAAATACTATTATAGCATAATATATCTTATTGGAATATAAGTATAGAGATGATTAATTTGTTGTTGCATAGGATTAAACATTATGAAGAAAATAGAGAAAAGTAAAACACAACAGCGATGCATTTCTTTTTGGCATTTCACTACAGATTTCAACTGAAGCTGTTTTAAGTTACTAAATTCATAAAAATAATAGTCCTTAATCGTAGATTGTAAGAGAAAATATATATCAAAATATTAGTGGAAAAAAAACCAATGGATAATCGGTTAAAATGAGATAGTTCTATTTTGTGATCACAAATTCAATTACATATTTTATAATTTATCGCTCATTATTAAAAAAAAAAAAGAAAAGAAAAACTAAGAACAGATTGAAGCTAAGATTAGTAAATGATAAAATAACTATAATGGGGGACAAATTAGCTAAGACCTGCCAATTCCCAAGGTTCACACTTGTAGAGGTCAACCTCAGGGATAATGTCGAGATCTAACTTGAGGCCATGGATCTTCTTCTTGAGATAGTAGTTGACGAGCTCCTCATCAGTAGGGTGGAACCTAAAGCCTGGAGGAAGACCCACAGGAGCCATCTCTCTCTCTCTCTCTCTACGGGCGATCAAACACATCTTATATATAATAAAGGGCCCAAATTCTCAACTCCTTCAAGTCGTTTTTCCTTTCTCTTTTGCAGATTCTCAGACGATTGAACTTCACGCTTTCAAATTTGCGCTTGGAGAAATTTATAGCTGCATCATTAAATCTTCTTTATTTACAAATCTATTATTCAAATACTTCCCATCTATGATAATATCAGCATTGTCAGCTTATAGGGCACTGTAAAAATTTTAATGTAACTTTTATCCTCAGTAATTTATTAAACATGATAATGTACCTGCATCAACCAAAAATATCATAATTTATAAATTTATATTAAGCAAATAAAAGATACAACAACAATAAAACTTTGTCCCACTGAGTGGGGTTGAATACATGAATCCGTTTTCTTCATTGTGTCTATTGAGTATCATATTTTTATTTAATTCTAATAAATTAATATCATTTTTTATAGAATATGTTCAAGTCATTCTCGGTCTATCTTAATCTTTTTTAACATAAGTCAAACTTAAAACAACTGCTCTCAAAACAGGATCATCAGAAGGTCGACATTTAATATGACCAAACCATTTAAGACCAGTCTCTCTAATATTTTGCACAAGTGGAGCTACAACAACTTTCTCACGGATATATTCTTTTTGCATTTTGTCTCTAGGTGTAAAGCCACCCATCCAGCTAAGCATTCTCATCTCGATAACACAAGTTAGTTTTATGCTTCTCTTTTAAATGCCAACATTCAACACCACTGAGCATTGTAGGTCTCAACACCATCTTATAAAATTTTTCTTCTAGTCTAATCGGTAATTTTCTATCATACGATAGACATGAAGCATTCATCCACTTCAACCAACCAACTTGAATTCTACTAATAACATCTTCATCTATATCACCATCATTTTGAACAATAGACTCAAGATATTTAAAGCGTTTACACCTTTTAATAATTTGATCACCCATAGTTACAACTCTATTACTAGAGCTACTACTACTAAAATTACATTCCGTGTATTCAATTTTAGTTCTACTCAAACGAAGGCCTTTAGATTCCATTGTTGACCTCCATAATTCAAGTTTTTGGTGAGCATTTTCTCTAGTCTTATCCACAAGAAGGATATCATCAGCGAAAAACATTCACCAAGGTACGTCCTCTTGTAAATGTAAAGTAGGTAATAACTAAAGCAAAGCAAATAAGATAGCTTTGCAGGAAAAAAAATCCCCTGATATACAAAAATTTACTCAAGAAAATTATGGCTATAGCATTAAAAAAATTTAGGACGTTGTGCTTCTGGGAGTCAAAACTGTTACCTTTCTTTTGCCTTTATCAACTAAATTGTGAAGAGCCGTTTGGATTGAAGCCCGACCCGAGCCTCTTTATCTTTTATGCTAGCTAATGAATAATAGTTAGATGCAAATGGAGGAGGGTGGTGGCTTTAGAAGTCGTAAGAGAGAAGAGGATGGCCGATGAGATTTGTCTGTCCCCCTCTTTGCTTTTGAGCCCTCTCTTTTTCTTTTCCCCACTTCTCTCTTCCCTTTGTGATTAGGCCATAACTTCTAGGAAGAAAATTTATTTAAATCATACATACCATAATTCTTTACATCATTCTTGGGATTCATTGTATAAAGCTGCAAATAACAGAAGGGAAAGAGAACGGGTTGGATTCCATGTAGGACTTTAAGCTGCTGATAGCAGCTAAGCCTGCTTCTTTCAGCTTTAAACCAAGTAAATGGAGAGATCAAGAGGTGTAAAGAAGATAGAAAAACGATAAAAGTTAAGCTTGAGTTGAGATTTTTAGCTTACAAAAGGTATTAATCATATGATGAGATGAAATTGTCCAACTTGCTCCACATGCACAGCCAAGCAAACTATCATTTATTAAGTCAGCTTTATACAAATTAGCCATCTAATTTTCTGGCTATAATTTAGATCTGGGAGGAATAATTCTCTTGGCTTTCTTTAATCTTGTTTTTCTCTGGCCTATTATCTGAATTTGTTGATCCAAAGTAAGGCCATTAGTATCAAGATTTAAGGAAAATCAGCATCCGTCATGTATTTAAGAAGAAATATGAGCATAATTAGCTGCGATATTTAGATGTCAACATGCTTTAATTTTCTACTAAAATTCTAGGCCATAGTTAAAAGGTATTACTTTCACGACAGCACATTCTTAAAAAATACACATTCCTAAAATTAAGGCTACAAAATATTTGGCATAGGAAGAATAACCTCCAAATAAAAATTATCATCACAAAATATTAAATTCAAGAGACTAATGGCATTCTGTGTTTTTTTAGCTGATTTTAGCAAATATAAGCAAGTGATTAACAAAATACTTATTGGTTGAGTTGTGTTTGCTAAAGCCCATTTGGCATCAAATTTATTTTGCATTTCTATTTTTTATTTTTCTTTGATCTTTGATCTTTAACTTTATATTTGGTTAGTATAATTTTTACATATTTTAATATTTTTATTTATAAAAAAATCAACTTAAGAAAAATGCAATTGAAACACCTAATAAAAAACAAATAGTTCAATAAAATATAATTTCATTTAATTTAAAACAGAAATAAAAAAAATAAAATAGAAAGATGAAAAGCAAAATGTAAAAGTAGTTCTAAACTGACCCTAAGCTCTTAAAAAATTCTCTAGAGGAATAACTTGAAGATAAAAATAATAATAATAATAATAATAATAAAAAACAGCATCATCTTATAACATGTTTAGTTATTTTAAAAAACACTCAAAATAACATTTATAAACTTTTTAAATTTTTATTAATAAATTAATATTTTTTTAAAACAAAAAATAAACATATATTAAAAATGTACTAAATAATTACTTTTTTTAATATAAAAAAAAAAATTAAAAGTGATCCCAAGACCTAAAATAATTAAAAAAATTTCTAACGAGATGGGATCAATGTGTCAAAGGGGTGTTTATTGTTTCAATGATATGGTTTACTCTAACCATATGCGTAAATCACATGTCGCGACTACAAAACACACTAACCTTCTTTGTCATTAGTCTATGGTTATAGCTACACTCCTACCAAATAAATAAAAAAAAATTACAAAATTATTAGGACAAGTCAACCACACCCAATATTGCCGTACAATGAAATATTACATTGGTCAAGGTAACTGAATTAGTTCATTTCGAGTTCATAAAATTTATTGATTGAAGAATGTACAATGGATGACATTTAAGAGATTCCTTTGAATAATTTTTTCCTTAAATTTCATTATCCTAACACCAAGTATTATCAAAGTTTCATTTCAATTGAAATCTTTTCAATTACTAATTAATCGTAAAATATTTAAAGCTAATTTAACAAAATTTTTAGATTGTTGTTTCATTTAATCGTTTGTTGATTACTCTTAAGAATTGATTGACTTTTTTAGTGTAATTTGCTTTCTTTCATTATAATCAATTTATACAATCATGTTAAACATATAAAAAGTGGTTGTACAAATCTCGGGGAGATCTAATAAATCGCAGGAAGAGAGTTGTTAAAGACCGAGCAATTTAGTAACACTCTAGTCAATGAAACTTTGGGCCGACCGAGTATTTGTCAGACAGAACCAAGGAGCAGCAATTACGCAGTTTTTATATATGTTTTATGGCAAAAAACTTGACCCAATTTAATTAAACAGCTAGTGTGCAAAATAAATGTAAAGTTCGATTTATAGTTTACTACTAGAGGTACTATACAAGTATACGTATTGTTTCAAGCAATATAGAGTTTTCTTTAAATAACCCAATATAGATCCCATAGGGAAGGTGGTAACTTTATGTATTTGACTAAGAAAAACCTTTACTTTAAATAGTAGAAAATAATCTAAGAAAACATGAAAGTAATTCACGCATGAAGTACAATTTACTAATTACTATGAGTGCAACTTAACAATAAATGCAGAGATTCGAAAATAACTAAAATTGGAAAATTCAAGATATTTAGAGAGACTTTCTCCTTGAAAATAATTCATAATTAGTGTAGGATTTCAAATGTTTAGAAGTTTAACTGTTGTATTGTGACAAATAAGAGCATATGTATTCCTTACTTCTTTCGATGTGTAAAAAATGTTAGCTAATCTAAAGATGATGTCAGCATGTGTAGTAGTGCTGGGTAGGTTCTAGTCTCTCACTCCTAGATTACTCACTATTCCCTCTTTATATAACTTACTAGTGACCCTTAGTTCCAATCTCTAAACTAAATTGATAAAAGTATTTAGCCTGTCATTCTAAAAACATCAATCCTACGCTTATCAAATTTTATATCCCTATCTATTTGCACTCTCCCTCGGACGATCACCACTGCTCTTTCCAAAGTGAAATGTGATACTTACAAGTAAAGAAATCTTAGCCCTCTCGGTCTATAAGGTTCCTCAATAAAATTTAACAAAACAAGTGGCCAATTTGTAAAATAAATAAATGATCGACATAAATATAATTACAATTTTTAAGAATAAAAGAAGTTCTAAAAAAAAATCAAAATCACTTACTGAATTACTTCATATTGCAGAGAGAAAGAGAGAAAACTACTCAAAATGGACGGGGATAACAAAACAAAACATATTTATAAAACTAAAATTCAAAGTACAACACTTAAAGCAAAAGATACAAAAACATATCTAGAATGCTTCCCCAAGCACTCTTTTGAAGTTCTTTGGCTTCTGTGACTCTACAAGACTCTTACAAGACTCAAAATACTCCAGACATCACAAAGACTCACAAAACCTCACTAAGTAGGCCGCTCACTCTAGATGGGTAACTCCCCTTCTCAAAACGATTCTAGAACCCTCCCCCTTGACGTTTAGAAATAATCCTTATATATAGAGCTTCGAAAATGACCAAGGGTCACTTGCGAAATCTATTCAAAATTCGGACTCATTCAACGCATCTTCTAGAAAACAACTATGGTGCCTAGGCGCTAGCCGCGGTCTGCATCTGGCGGCTAGGTGCCAGTTCGGCTGGTTTCTTAAATTTTCTTTA